TATTTTTTTTTGTGAAATATTTCATCGATTATCACAAAAATTTTATCAGGATTGTTTATAGTTTGCATGTTAGAATGAGAACTCAATCGTCCTAATCATCATGAAAAATGCAATTGTTCAATTAGAAATGAATCTATTTAAAAGAAAAACTTCTAATATAATATTATTTATTATATATATATTTAATATTATTTATTATTTATATATAATATTATTTCTTATAAATTAATATTATTTGTTAAATGATAAGCTAATTAATATTGATTCTTCTTTAAATACATTAAAATAAATAATAAAATAATTCAAATTTCAGCAAAATATAATTAAATAAATAAAGAAATGAATAGCTAATCATTCCTCAATCAAGAAGTATAGCATCCATGTTTATATGATGAAAATGTAGAAAGTATTGAAAAAATAAATTTTTTGTTTAGTCATTATATTGTAATTGGGAAAAAGAAAATAAAATGAAAAAACATAAATATATGTTTTTAATTTAAAAAATAATAATTTCATTCTTGCTAAAAAATAATTTCATTCATCTAAATTTTCGAATCACAATTTTATGATTGATTATGTTGTCAATATAAATGTTAAAGTATAAAACTGAAGGAATTCTTTTAAATATTGCACAAATATGGTGTATGAATTATTATTACTCGAAAGACAATTTATCGTCTTAAAAATATACAATCGTTTATATTATGAGGTTTGAGTAAACGAATAGTGATTTACTTTAACTATTTGCAGATTGAACTTCATTGATTCTAACAGTATTCTGATGCGAACTGTATCGTTGCTAAATTCTATCTGATCTGTATTTTTTTTATTCTAGTTGATTTGATCTAAAAAGATTTTCACAGATCTTAGTTTTTTCTTCAATCATTATTTTTCGTATTGCAATCTAAGAAGGAGGAACCAATAATAACGATGGCTGTTTCGAGGAATGTGTCCTTGCAGAGTCGCATCGTAGCTCGTGAGGATCAAAATCTTTACGTTCTCTTCCATGATCTATAACAGCACTAATCGCGCAAATGTTACTTATGAAATGACCACTGCTATTTTAAATTGAAAATCTGAAAAGCTTATTAGGGAATAGTACCCACTTTTAAATTATTAGATTATTATTATAGATTATTTTAGACTATATTATTTTAGATTATTAGACTATTAAAAATACGATTGAAAATAAAATCTAAGCTGTCTGATCACTTACAAGTCTTTGTCTTTAACAACAAGGTATATCTAAAAAATTAAATCTAAAAATCTTCACATTCTCTCTATTTGCTAGTCCAAATTGCCTGAACTTGATTAATTCTACTTGATTAATTCTTTTTACTGTTTTTATTTTTCATTACAGATTCAGTATTATTTAATTACTAACTAACTGATTTACTAAAATATCATGCTATTTTGAATGATAATAATAAATAATTATCAAATTAAATATAATAAACGTAATTGTTTAAATGGAAAATGGGATTAGATGAAAGATGAAGAAACAGAGAAATTATCAAATTTCCACAATACATGTAGAAAGGTATTGTGGAAAATACCTAAAGAAACGATTTACATGTCTACAAAATATCGACAAAAGTAGAATTGACGATATTGAATAAGTTCATTAGAATTATTGAATTATATATAAAAAATATAATTATATTTTCTGTCTTCTTATCTTTTCTATTGTTCTGTCATCATCAGAAAAGTTCTTTTCTAAATTGATATATAAAATTGAATAGTGATTGATCAAATGTCATCAGATTAAATCATTAAAATCATAAACAATAAAAAACATTTTCTAAGAAAATTTTTTGAAATATTAATTAATTAATTGTTTATTAACTATATTCTTTTCTTTTATACAATGCAATTTCTTTTCTTATTTTGAAGATTAGATTTTGCATGTCGAACTTTATTATTAGAATTTGTTAATAGAATAATAAATCAATTCTATATATTTGTTGTTAAGATTTTATGCAATTTTTATAGCCAACGCCATCTAAACTTTTAATGTTACACTAAATCTGATATACGCAATCTATCGGAATATATAAGTACTTATATATAAGAAATGATGCCCAAAAATCAATTATCTCGTAATATGTCGATATATGTCGGTATGTACAAACAGCCCATATATGATTGACTGTAAGTAAAAATGTATAGTGGCTATAAATAAGTATGAAAATCAATTGTGAATTTAAAGAATTTGGAATTTATTTCATAAGATTTACTTTCATTTTTTTTTTAATATGAACAGTTTCTTTAGAAATTCAAGGAAAGCATTTGAATTTAGGATTTTGATTTCTGTTATTATTCATTCGATGATTTTATTTCAAACTGTATGATTTCTAATCATTTTATTTTTAAAAATATTTTATTATATATTTTCCGAAGTTATTTATTATATATGCTAATTATAAATTTTTAAAGAAAATATTAAACTTTCGACAATTTATATCCAATGGTAAATAATAAAAAGATCTTAATACAGTTTTTCAAAATTAAATTAAATTAAGAAAATAGTGAATTTTTATTCTTTTCTTCTCACAACCATATTATTAAACATTAATTGATTATCAATTGATATTAATTGATTTAAATCTTCCATTGTGATTATTCTTTGATTTTGCTTGAATGTTTTCTCGAGAATGATCAAAAAAAATTTCTTAATGTCTTCGATTACTTTTATACCTTTAAATAAAACTTTAAAAAACTATTAATTTTCGCGTTCGATCATCAAATGAAGATTAAAAGAGTTTTCAATGATAGTAAATCTTATTTTTAATTAAAATCAATGTGAACACTTGATTAAATCGACTTATTGATTAAATGCAATCTTGTCTGCATTATTAAAAGTTTTTGCAACTATTTAATGAATTTATATTTAAAATGAAAACGATTTTATAAATTGTAATTAAATTCGTATAATAAATCAAATATTTTGCTTTAATTATTGTTAAATATCTAATGAATTCAATATAAAATAATTCTATGAAAAAAATATAAACAAAGATTATTTTAATTCGAATATTTATTATTTAATAATATTATAATAAATATTATAATATTATATATATAATATAATAAATATTAATATTATAATTATTTCTAGAATAGTTATTTAAGTATTTTGTTTTATGAATGGAAATTAATATTTTATAATATATTCTAATAAAAAATTATATAACCTAAACACATTGTTTTTTATTATTGTTTTTTAATGTAATTTATTATTTTATTGCATTCATTCTGGATATTTCGTTTTTGCATGCTTATTAAGATAATCTTATTGATCATTAAGATGATTCATGTAGGATTTGAACTTGATATTTTTCAAAATTTCTCTAATCAATCTTTTGATTTGTCCAATCTCTCCCTTTTAAATTAATAATAAACGTTCGAATATCTATCTCCAAGCAAAGTCACAATTATAAAATCATGTTCATAATCTAAAATCAAATTATACCAGATTTCTGAGTAACAAACATCTATCTTTAAGAATAAATACATAATTTTCAATATGCGCCTTTTTTTTATCTAAATTGAGGTTTTATTTTATAGAGGCTTATTGTTAATTGTATTAATTTGCAACTCGAACTAATTCATATAATAAATGTTTTATATTGCAATTAAAATCTAATCTTAAACATTTTTTAGATAGTAATAAATTTTTTTTTATTAATTGGATACTACAAATGATGCTCGTGATGCACGCCAGATTTAGAAATTTTTTCATCATATTTTTAAGTGTTTCTTTTTCAAATTAGCTTTATATTTTTTCATTCTCTTAATCGTTTATTGAAAAATGTTTCTTAAGATAATAATGTTAAACATATAAATAATCTAAATAATATAATATTTGTTTCTTAAAAAGACTTTTTAAATAAAAAAGTTTAATAAATAATTTTTTGCATATTTTTTGCATATGAAAAAATTATTTTAGAATTATAATATTATTTTGTTATTCAACAATTTTTTGTTATTTAATAATTATTCGAATTAAAAAGAAGATCTTTTTATTATTATTTTAAAAATAAAATTTTCTAATTTAAACTTTTAAAAGAAATATCTATTTGATTTTTTTAAGAATATTATATTTCCATGTTTTCGTAATTTCTTGAAACGAACGAATTTATTTTCTTAAAAATGCAATATGCAATTTTCAAGTCAATCAACAAAATAAACTATTAATAAAAAACTAAAAGCAGGAATCAAGGAATTTATATTACGATAACGAAAAAACAATTCAGTATAAATATTTATTCTTCAATTATCATTAAAAATATGTATTACAAATATATTACTTTCATTTTGAAGATGATATTTATTATATAATTCTTTATTATATAATTTTTAACATTAAAAATTGGAAAAAAGTAATAACAATAGTGAAATTTAAAATGAAAATAGGAAAAATAATAAATGTTTTATTATATCTACTGTTTATGATAAATTTTTAATTTTAATAATATAATATCAATAAAACATATATAATTTCTTTTATCTTCATTTAAAAGCTTCATTTCTATTACTTGTTCCTTTCTCTTTCATAAATATTCAGATTTTGTTCGACAATTACTTCGAATATTTATTTCTCATTGATGAATACGCGGTTCAGTATTTAATAGTTTATATCTATAAATTATCAATCATTGTACAATTTTTTTAGTAATTTTGGCTACAATAAATATAAAAAAAATACATTATCATCATCATATTTCACGCTGTATAATATAAAATTAGTGAAATTAATCAACTATTCTTTAAACTACCATACATCAGATTTTTATATAATATATATAATATATTATTTTATATAATATATTAATCTAAAGATGAAAAATAAAAAATATCGAAAAGTTATGAATTTAATTTTCTATTTTCTATTTTCTTTCTATATTTTTTCTGTTTTTGGTTTTTTCTTTTTTTTTTTTTATTAATATTTCTTTTACGAAGAATGAAAATCCAATGAAAATCAAAAATCATCTTACCGTGTGTCATTCGAATCAAATTTATATTCATTTTGTTAAGTTTGTTGAATTTTTAATAAATGATCAAAATTACGAAAAATTCAATTAAAATTAAAAATCAGACTATCAACAACTACTAATCAGACTATATCAATCAAAGAACCAACTTTTATAGATATAATGACAAACTACTAATAATATTTATAATAATAATAATATATTATAATACATTATAACGTATTATAATACATATATAATATAATATATTATAATATATTAAAACATTGTAAAAAATTAATTATCAATCTTCTCAATTAATAATTATTCTCATCTGCGAGAAGATCGATCATTCATTTATACCATCTAATAATATCAATAAAGCGATTGATTAATCACTCTTATGGTATACGCTGACTTCCTGGATTTCTTCAGGCTTCATATCTACATCGCCCCAACCCCATTTCATATCTTCGAGATTGTAGTAATGAACAGCTTCCTTTTTATCATATCTACAAATTGAAATTTTAGATTTGAAAATTCCATAATTAATGGTAAAATTTATTTTACAAATATTGACAAAAGAAACAATTCATTTGATCAATTTAGATAAATGAATTGTTTTTTATTTTTTTTAAATTAAGTATATAAAATGTTTATTTTTTATAATTGTTTCAATCCTTCCGATTCCGGTAATTATATTGTTTCCAGTTTTAAAATTTTTTAATTTCTTTTTGTTTCTTTTGAATAAATGAAAAGGTTTCTTCGAATCTTAAAAATTTCTATGTTGATGTATATTTTAAAAGCTATATTAAAATTATTAATAAATACTATTCATAGTTAAATTAACTATTAACTAAGTCTTTAATTATTGACTAATCTTTAGTTATAATCTAAAATACATTAATATATAATAATGTCGATACCTCGATCCGTCTCCAGTTCTAGCTGCTCGTTTTCTAATTACTTCATCGGGAACAGTTTTCAAGTCGTATGCCAATCCCAATCGAGCACAGAAATCGATGAACGCAGTGGTAAAATTGGTATTATAGGTACCAAATTCACTAGTTTTATAGTCCCACGGGAATACATGATGATAATTATGCCATCCCTCACCATATGCAAATATAGATACAATTTTGTTTTCTACTGGACAAATGTTCCTGTAAATTTACGTAAAAGTCGAGAAATTTATTTTTTTACTCAACTGATAATCGTTGGAAAACCATATATTTTCGATTGACATAAAATTTGAGAAGAAGAAAGAAAGGATAGAAGAATATGAATCTTAAATCTAAAATTTTAGTTTTATATATTAATTAGTTTCTGAAATATTAGTAAAAGAAATAAATTTCGATAGAAAAATATTGTATTCTGTCTATACATTCTCTATTAACTCTCTATTAACTAATTATTTTCATAATCATCAAATATCAATGATATAACAATAATAATAAAATATTAGTGATTGTTCTTAGTTCGCATAGTAGATAAGTACAATACATATTGAAATATATTTTTTAGTTACTGAAATTAAAATAGATAAAAAAAAATAATAATCAAAATAATCATTGATAACATTAAATATTTATTAAACGACAAGAGGAAAATATCTATTCTTTAACTTTGAGAATATTATTTAATGGATTTATTTTCAATTCAATTAATATCATATTTTCACTAATCTACTGATTACTTAAATTACTTAAATTACTATTAATTATTTAATATATATATATACATATATATATGTACGTATGTATGTAATAAAAATAATAAAAATTTTTATATTAAGTTAATATTTTTATCTTAAGTAAATATCGATTCTTTTTAGAATCACTATGATGGATAAAATTCGATTAATTAACTTTTATTGTTTATTGTTATGTCGACAATATTTAAAATTTCAAAATTAATTAGTGTTTTGTTAAAAATATATGTGCACATATATAATATTTTAAATACGATTCAATATTAACTACAAGAATATATAATAAAAAAAATAATATAATAATAGTATAAAGTCTAAAAATTCAATTATCTACCCAACATACGATTATTTTATATTTATTATTAAAAATTATATAATAGAATATAATTTGATATATCATTTCAATTTCTGAAGAAAATCAAGAACAATAGAGAAAATATTGCAATTTTATATAAAATGTAATATTTATAATTTAAAAAAAAAATAATTACAATGGAAAAATTTTAATTTCATTACAGATGTGAAATATACTGTAAAATAATATATAAATATTTTAAAGCAAAGTAGAAACAATTAAGTAATACATATAACTATCAATTTCACTAAAAATAATTATTGTAATATAATTATTATAATCCAAATAAATTAATTTCTTACATGTCATATGGTTTCATGCCCCATATATGAGCAGCAGAGTTTACCATCCATGTTACGTTCAAAGAAAAAACGTATCTTGCTAAATTGCTGTACCAGGAATATGTAAATTTTTCATTCCAAAAATAGTAGGGTACCCATGTAGGGATCACAAAGCACAAAAGGGGCATCAGCACGACATACAATCTGAAAAAAATGAAAAAGATAAGTAATGTAAACAGATTATTGATACGTAACAGAAACAGAGTTGCCGAATATAGTTTTTCCTTTCTATTACTAAGTGTAGTTCAATTCCCGTTTAAACTCGGCAAATTTCAATGGAAGAAAAATGTGTGTCATATTCCCATTGCTATTCATGCAAAAACATATGACATGATATATTGCTTGATAGAGCTGATCATGTGACAAACTGTTTAAGCAGTATGATAATAATGCAAAAGTTTAAGCAGTGCATATTCTCTTTTCACAACTACTGATAGAAAAAATAATATACTGTCCGTGTCCGGTAACTTCTATTAATTTATAATTTTCAATATTTAATAAGTTATTTTTCTTTTTTCATTATTTAATACAATTTATTTTTATATTATTATCAAAATTTTTCAAAATAAATTAATTCATAATTAATTTATAAAATTATCTAACAAAATTTATATTTATATTTATTATTTACTTTATTTTAATAATTATTTTAATAATGTGTGTAGAATAATATATTTATAAAATAAATTATTTTAAAATTTGTTATTTATGATTTTAGAAAAATATAAGATAATAGTAATAATATAAAATAGTAATAATATAATATAAAGATTATATTTTTTTTCTTATAAAATTTCGTAAAGTTATAAAATAAAACTTTATATTATTTATTTTCATTTCATCATAAAATTATTATTATTATTTTTTCTTTTTTTACATATTTTTATTTGAGAGATATAATTAATATAATTTCTTTCGGAAAAATTTTAATCAATTTTGTAAATAACTTATAATTAAATTAGTTTAGAAAAATTCTATAATTTTATTCGTTGAATGAAATATTATTGAAATTAAATTAAATTGTTATAAATGTTAATGAAAAGAATTAAAATGTTAGATTAAAAATAAAATTATGTTTCACCTTTTTTGCCAAACGACAATAGGATCTTTTTCCAAATCACTTAAATCAATAGTAGCACCTTTTTTAAATATATCCGGATGCTTTCGGACCATTAACCAACCTATATGAGAGAAAAAAAATCCTCGTCGGGAGTTATGAGGATCCGCATCAGTATCAGTGAATTTGTGATGAGCTCTATGATCCCTTACCCATTCATAAATGTGATTCTGCGGATCAAAAATGAAGTTTGAAATATTTTAATTTTTATAATACAATATTATTTAGGAAATTTTTAAAACACGTTGAAAGAAAAACATGATAATATAAAATCTGAATACAAAACATTAAAATTGTTTCAATGTTAATAACATTTTTTAATTTTAATACTTTTTCTTATAAATATTTTGATAGATAAAATTAATAAAAAAGAATTATTCATGATATTAACTTTTAAGTAATATATTTTTGAATTTCAATATTTTCTTTTACAGAAATTTAAAAAAATTAGAAAGATAGAAGATTGATAATATTATAATATTCAAGTTAAATAATATATTTTCAAATTTTAGTATTTCTTTTTATAAATACTATAATAAAATTTATAAAAAATTATAGAATTATAGAAATAATATTAATTTTCAATGAATTATAAAAAAAGAAAGAAAAGAAAGTAAGAATTTACCTGATAAGATGTTGTTTGAAGAAGCATCAACACTAAACGTAAGGGCCATTTCGCTTTGTAACTTCTATGTGACCATAATCTATGGGCTCCAGCTGTAATGCCCATGATGGCAAAAAATTCCACGAAAATTGCTAAAAATATCACGTCAATTAATTTATGAAATTTTATTTTATTTAAAATCTTAATTCTATTAATTTATTTATTATTTTTAATTTAACAAAAGAAAATTCCCAGTTCACAAATTTAAAAAATTTTGAGCATATATAGTGCATATGTATGTACAATTTTTTTTTTTTATCCAAATTTATTCTAAGAGAGTAAAATTGATCTATTTTGTGATTTTACGTGAAATTACGATATATTTGTTAATATGTGATATAAAAATGGATATGAAACAAAAAATTTAACAAATTTAGTAGATTTCGCTTTTTCATAATAATTTTTTTAATTATATTAATTTTACCTTCTATTGCATTCTATTAGATTCTATTAGATTTTATTTGATTCTAGCTAATTTTTGAGTAATATAATATGATTCTGCAAGCAATTGTTGGTAGTGATTTTAACATTTTCGTGTATGAGCATTATTGTTTGCAAAGTGTTCAAAGATATTGCATATTTTATTTGGTGAGAATATTTGCAATGTAGATTATATAAACTTTACATTGTAAAATAATAGTATAAGTTTTTTATGATACATCGGTATCGATAAGATGGATAGAGATTGTATCTTTAATTTTTATACAAAAATAATTATTACTTATGTATAATAAAATTAACACATACAGCGAGATAGACAGTAACCATTATCTAGCAATCTCTCGCGGAATGCAAAAATAAAATATAAAAAAATCCTTAAATGATCCAAAGGAATTGAATTTGAAATATTTTAAACATAATTCATGAGTAAGTAGATTTTTTATTTATTTCAATAATTAACATAGAATAAATTAAAATATTTATACTTACACCATAAAATTGTATATGTCTTGATTCCGTTAGTCCAAAGATAAAATCCATATATACCTCCAAGATGAAAATAGATAAATACAATCACATTTTTCCAAACAATATTCCATTTATATTTCGGCTCGGAATTCGATAATTCTTGGATTAATTCTTTCTGCTTATTCTCTCTTTCTGTCGTCGATTTTTCTTGATCAACATTTTGTTGAAATGCTTTCATATTCAATGTCATCGATATACGGTACAGTTTTAGTGCTATTGTGTAATAATCTAAAATAAAAATGTTCATTCTTGTAAAATTTAATGTGTTATCACTAATTGATAATTTTAATTTAATGGAAGGAAAACTTGTGCTGAGAATTGCAGAAATAAAATTTCACATAATAAAATTATATAATGGATAAATTATATAAAATTATTATTTAGGATTAAAAAATTGGCATGATTAAAAATATGATATAAGTTATAGATTCATAAAATAAATAGCACAAGATTACAATTGATTAAAAATAGAAAAATATTTGTAAAAATATATATAAAAATATATTACTAAAAAAAAATTAAATTATTTTCCAAAATATTATATATAATTGTTTATTAAAAATATTTTAGAAATGTCAGTATCTCAAAAATTTAATTCGTATAGTAAAATATATAATTCAAGATTTCAAAATCGATATTTTCAAGATTTTCAAAAAATTTGTATTCTAATTTTTATTAAATTGTGATTAATAATATTATTAATAATATTATTATATATTTATATTTATATTTTACGAAATAGATTAAAAATACGAAATTCCTTATCTTAGCATCTTATAAACTATTTTTATCTTTAATTAAAATCATTATCGTTATCATAAAAAATTTACAAATTTTTTAAAGTTGATTTTTACAAAAAATTGAAGTTGAAAATTAAAATATTCCAAAACAAATTTTGTGATCAAAACTTTCATTCACGAAATTAAATGAAATTTAAAATCGAATCAAAATCGAGATGAACAAATGAATTTTCAGGTATTCTAGAAAATTTTGCTTCTTATAATCTTCGATCACTTTCTAATAATTATTAGATGTTTTTTTTTTAAATGACATCAAATAAGAGCATAATTACAGTATGATGGAAAAAGAAAACTTGAAATTTTTGTTTCTTGAAGAGATGTTAATATTAAAAGAATATGAATAAAAAATTTCGAAAAATAAAAAAATATTATTTTTGTATTGATAAACTTTAGCTATCTTGAAATAAAAAAGTATTATATATATTTGAAATATAATTATTTAATCAATCATGTTAATCTGTATACTTATTTTTGTAATTGTTTTAATTAATTAATTGTTATTCATTTAAAAAAATAATAAGTAATAATACAATAATAATTTATTATATTATTTATATTATAGACAAAAATTCTATTTTTAAAAAATATAGTAATTTAATTATTTTATTACTTTATGATTTCTTTTTTGGATGACATGTGATCCACAAAAAATAAATAAATACAATATTTGTAATTTATTAATTCTAACATAAAAAAATCGGAAAATATGTGAAAATACGATTATTTTCTACAGATGAAATTAATTAAATATTCAAGTTGTCGTTTCTTAAGCAAAAAAATCTTCTGCATTCTTATAACAATGGTTTTAACAGTAATTCACTTCAAACCCAACACATGCCCAATCAAAAATTCTTTATCTATGTCCAATAAATATCAATTCTTTTTAAAATTATTTTTTCATTAATTATCATAATTAAATAATTAATTATGAAAAATTATAGATAATTACCACTCGATCGTCTTTTATTTAAAAATTTTCCTTATTTTTATATAATAAATAATATAATATAATATAATGAATAATAATTCACTTCGAATATATCAAAAATTCATGTCCAACAAATCAATTTTTCTTTAATTCAAACTGTCGACCGGACAAAGCGTTTATCAATGTATACATAATGTCTGTATACATAAATTGTAATGATGTATACATAAACTCTGCTATTTTAGGTTACGAATGAAAGAGTGAAATCTAAGTGGAGCTATTCGGTAGAATTAACTGCTGAAAACAAACAAATAATTTACAAATAAAAATAAGTAAAAATGGAAAAAGTTTGTAAAAACAGAAGAGAAATAATATTACTGAAGCAGAAAAAAAAATTATAAAAAAAAATAAATCAATCAATTACTAAATAGAAAAAGACAACTGTAAACATCAATAAATGTAGATAATTCAATAATAATGGCATTAATCAGAAAATGAAGATTTTATTAGAGCAAAAACTGTAAGATCAAATACAAAAAATACAAAAATTTTAACAAATATATTAGATAATGATATGGAAAACAATGAAAATAAATAATTCCAATAATACAAATAATAAACAGATACTGCATATTAAACAAGTTGAGAGAAAAAGAAAAACCATCACCAATATTTGTTAAAGCAAATATTATTCAACTAGTATAACTACTATACTATATACTATACTATATAATATACTATATACTATACTATATACTAATGAATATTATTTAAAATTTAAAATCAAATATATATATATATTATGATTCATATAATAATACAAAAAAAATCCAAACTGAAAACATCGAAGTAAATGAAAGTATATATAAGTAAGTAATAATATTAAGAGAGAAAAATGCAAGCTATTTCCTATCTATCAAACATATCTATCAAATAAAATACACTAAAAGAATTATATTACTCGACTCCGATTGAGGACTCTTCGCACCCGCAACGATAGTATTGTAATGATAATGATGGACGTAAGTTAATAATTGTAGAATACCTTTCGATAGATGTCGTGATATAGTTCTTAAACATGACTGGACTGCATTAGTGCAATTACACGTGCGGTCTATAAAAGAGTTAGGTCTCTCATAATGTCACAGCCGATAATTATATTCGACGGTCAGAGCACGATGTGGTGTTAGAACAAAACCATATATTTGTCGTATCCAACGGTCAGACTACTACGTGTTCACAATTATACTCTCTTCACCAGTGCCCTCAAAAAATCCTTTCCTAATTCAATTGGGAAGATCTCAGTTTCTCGGTGGGACATGATAATAACCAATAACATTGCGGTCAGTGCCTGACTCGCGACATCCCTAAATTAGAGGAAAATTTCTTGAATTAGAATGATTATAGTTGAGTCAGCCGTGTTTGATATGTCACCTTTGGGATCGGACTCCGCTTCAGCCAGGTTGAAGTGTGAGAAAAGTATACAATTATAAGGATCGATTAAACTCTCAAAAATGAGAGCAGCAATCTTCTTATATTACATCATCCTTTGTTTAGATTTAATAGAAATTTGCGAGTGATAATAACAAAAAAAAATCTTTGTGAGGAATTTCTCCGAATAAACTGTTTACAAATCTCGTAAGCAATAAGTGCTTGCAAACAAGAACATTGAAGAAATATTACATGGGCACATATAACATTAAAAGCAAACAAACAAGATCAATACCAATGTTTTCAATTGAAATAATCAAAACATTTAATAACAAACAAGTCTATGAAATAAATAAATTATTGATTGTTAAAATAAAACCCTCATGTTCAACAAAAAATATTCCATAAATATTCCATTTCCATATGCAAGATACCAAATACATGGACTAAATAATAATATTATAATAAAATTTTTAAATATATAAAATGATTGCCCAGAAGGGAAAAAAATAAATAAGGCAATATGTACAAGTATATGTAATTATAAAAGTTGTGAAATACGAAAAGAATTTCAGAAAAAAACTTTTTCTACCAACTTCATATAAAAATGTGTGACGAATCATTCGTTAACAAAAAACAATACAGTTAATGGCCACAGGACAGAAAATAATAAACGATTTCTCCCTTTTCAAATTCAATAAATAATCGATACACTATATAACAAAAAGAAATGTAAAATAAAAAAGACAAAAATGTATCTTTAAATAGTGATAGCATAATTTTGCATAGAATAAAAAATAGTAAAAAAATTAACAAATTTAATAAAATAACAAATACAACAAATGACAATGTTCATGAATAAGATTATAACACGTATTTCATCAAATAAAAAAATAAAATAATGCAATGCAAGTGCTAAAAATAATGTTATAGAATTATAATAAAGATTTATGGATATAGGAAAGAATATCAAACTGTAGCAACTTCTTAATTAATACGAGAGAAATGTATACTTCTTGAAGCACACAAAATATCATTTATTTATTTTATGATTTATTTTATGATTTATTTATATTTATACATTCATTAGACATATACACAATACTAAATAAATCAGGAAAAGAAGAGGAGGAACAGTAATCTTAATCCAAAATAGAATAAAATATTTTCTTATGTAAGGAATAAACGAAATATACATACAGATTATTAATATTAAATATATCTAAGAAGATAATAAATTCTAATGACATGTTATATTTCACAGAAAATATATATTACCGAGAAACAAAATAAATAAAACACTATCAAAATGAAATAAATATATAATAGGAGTAGATTTTAATGCAAAAATTTACTTGTAATTAAATATAAGTTTTATATAAAAAATGATTGAAAATAAAAAAAACTAATTAAAATAGAACAATGAATAGAAATAAAAAATAAAAGAATATTTCCAAATTTATAATATCAGCAACAAACACACAATATCAACACTGCAAATCATCAACTAAAAGAATTTAATAACCACAACAATAATAATAATAATCTAAAAGAATTCTAAAATTTTAAAAGAATTTAATAACCAAAATACTAATAAAAACAAAGAAAAATTAAAATTGTAATTAAAAATCTCAATATAAAAGACTTCAGAATATCTAATCATTGGAAAAATTCTAAAAAATTTAATATCAGAAATAATCAAATATAATATAATATTATTTAATGCAATCATGAAATTGGAATATATTTCACAACAATATAAATGTGAAAAAAAATTCATTTTATCAGAATCATTTTATTGTTCAAATTTGATAAACTAACAAAAAGTTCATATAGACAAATATAGATTTTATTGTTTCCAATATTTTCAAAAATTTAAAAAAAAATTATATTTTTGAAAATTATATTTTTAATGAAATCTAGAATACAAAATTATTGCATTGCATTAATTTCGATTTAGTAATTAATTTCGATCAGAGCGAAATATACAACAACTATATAATACAATACATATATAATAATATATAATATATAATACAATAAGCAAATTTAACAAATATAGCAAATACAAATTCATAAAATGTATTTAATTATAGAAATATACAAAAAAAACTATGTCTTCTCAAATATCCAAAAAATATTTGATAAAATATCATATTTATATTAGAAGATTTCAAGAGAAAATTAAAAAAATACTTGGTAAGCGTTTATTATAGATTTACAGATAATTAATAGGTTTTTTTTATGTAAAAGTAAGCAATGAAATTTCAAGCATAGTAAAATATAAAACAAAACTATCACAAAAAAGTGTATGTTGAAACATTTGAATGTGTTTTTATATGCATAATTACTTTTTAATTATTTTAGCATGTACAGAAAAAATCAGAAGTATTAATAATACTTGAATCAATTTGAATTTCAGATTATTAATTATTAAATAAAACCAATAAAATCAATCTTTATTTTTATTTCACATTCAATATTTTTTATTTTTATAAAGAGAAAAATAATAGTCGATATCACATATTAATAATACAAATAAATATTTCACATTAATATCACATATTCATAAAAAATATATACATATTAAAATTGTTTTGTTTAGACTTCGAATATTACAAATTTATATAATTATATAATTATATAATTTTTATATAATTTCTTTTTTACACTTTTACTTTTTTTTGCTATGCAAATGAATGAACGAGACAAAGAAAAAACCAGAACAAAATAGACTTAGGTTTTTGTATTCTTATATTATAATACATAAACAAGATTCAATTTTGGATATTACTATCTCATTTTTTTCTATATATTGTCTTTTTTTAATGCCCACAATCAACATTCAATGCTATTTTTGTAATTAGCAATGCTATTTCAATAGTACATTGTCATGTGAGTTCAGAGTTTGATAAAAGAATAGATATAGAATATATACTTGAATACTTTAAAATAAAATATATAATTAAACAATTTTTATATAAAATTAACTTATATAATAATAAATAATAATCGAAATAATTTCATTCAAAGAAATGTAAATAGTGAATAAAAATATTTCTAATATTTATATATATCTAGTAATGTGAAATAAAAAAGTCGAATGTTTATATAATTCTTTTAATGAATATAAAACGTGATATTAATATATTATAATATAGATAATATAGAAAATATAGATATTAAATATCAATTATTATTTTTTTCTTTTTAATAATCTCATATAAAAAATATAAAAAAACATTGAATTCAAACAAGATAGAAACAAAAATTTTTTAACTAATACATTGATCTCAATTAGAATTCAAATTGATTCAAATATTATTAGTGAATTTTTTATTCATATGAGGATAAATAAATTTGTGTATAAAAAAAGATTCAATCTTTCTAATCTTATGATGTATTTGAATTTGCTTCTATGAATTTCGATAAAAAATTGAATGTCATACAATGATTCAGCTGGATTTAAATAAAATGTTTGTACAATGACTTACCTATGGATTTAAACAAAGTGATGCATAATATCAATATTCTGGAATTTACTGAAATTTATTCATGTTTTTGTTAAATAACGAGTTCCATAATATGTACATTGTATATTACATTAAAATATTTTTTCAATGGGTTTTCAATGCTAATTCTTGAATGTTCTTACTGTTCTGCCATGTTACTCTATTTAATTTAAATTTAAAATACTTATAATTCGATAATTAAGTATGCTCGAATACATATATATATATAAAAACTTTTTTTTATCATTTTGATATTTAGAATCCATTTTCTGAAAATGTCCCATATTTTTATAAATACCCTATATGAGTTAAACAATTATACTCGAGAGATACTATATAAAATATTTAAGAATCATATAAGACAAAAAACTAACATGGGGAACCTTCATATAAAATATATAAAAGAAAAATAGCCACAATTACAAAATTACTATAATTATTACTATAATGATTAATTAAAAGAAAATCGAAGATAAAAATAAAAAATAAGATGATGATATATATATATATATAAAACAATGATTAAACTATATATAAAATATATAAAATAAATCTTTGGAGTACAGCTGCCAAAAATAATTTAAGAAAATAGCTCAATCAAAATTACTATTACAAAATGATATTCAATATATAATGATATGTGAAAAACAACAAAATAGAAAAAATTTCAGATATTTCAGTAAAAGAAATATTAAAAATCAATAACGAAAGGTATTGGAAAAAAATTGTACAAAAATCTACTTTTAAAAAACTGCACGATGTCAATACCAAAAAAAAGCATGCAGAATCTAAATTATTCGAATAAATATGTGGAAAAAATTAAAATATAAATCATATAAAAATTTAAAAACAATACAAGACTTGAATAAAAATACATGAATAAAAAAGATTTATAAAAAAATTTTTTTCAAAGTTATTTATTTAACTAATTATTTTTATTTAATTAATTATTTTTATTTTAATAATTATAAAAAATTAACAATATTTATCAAAAAAAAATATTTCTCGCTATTGTCAAAAAAATCAATTTTTAAAAATCATTAATTCTCTGTTTATTGAACTAAATATTAGAAAATATAATTTCTCAATATATAAATAACGACTTACTCGTATTACCTGTTACGTTGGTGTGATCCAATCTCATGGCCCGTATTCACTACGAATACAGAAATATAGCAACGTATTTTCTATTCATCGATTTATAAAATTGCATTGATAAAATTCCTCACACTATGATCTGAAATAAAAAAAAAATATGGAAAATATCCTAGAAGATCATGACATTGGAAATTATGTCACATATAATGTTTATATGTATATTTATTAAGGTCATAGTCAAGTAAAGGTTAAACTTTAATGTTTAACTCAATATACATGTATGCAATGAAAGATAATTGCTGCATATGATTATCATTAGATTTTATCAATCAGAGTTATAAAAAATATAGAATAAATTAAAACAAATATGTACTATTTATTTTAAAAATAGATTTTTCGAAATATCGAAAATTTATAAATAAATCTAATAAATAATTATTTGTTTCCAAATTTTATAACAACAATTTTTACTTCTTACATAATGTAATGTATAGCTCATTAAAAATCCATTTAGGTAAAAAAATAGTCAAGATTAGCATATGCGTAGATTAATATTTATTCGAATTTTTATGTTGGATTATCAGAAGAAGTTAGAA